AAACTGGAGCATGAAATCATGATTGGAGATGCCATTACCTTCTGAGAAAATACCACATAATAGCCAGTTCCTTTGGCGCGGCAGGTGAGCTTGCAAACATCTCCGGGAAGCACTCCAGCGTACTTGGGGACCCATTCAACAAATGTCTTGACACCCTTTGCGTCAGACTGATAGCCATTCCTTGCTTCACACTGCTCTTGTCGAAAAGATTTAGCTGTAGAATTATTCACATCATTAGTGACTATTTCAGACCACACTGCAAAAATCATTATGCACATCTATTATTCCGATTTCTTTTTTACATAATTTTAAAGTTATGTCACTTCACCTCTTTACTTAGAACTGGCTTAAAATCCTTCAACTGTTTTAGCTTGGAAATCTTCCCATGACATAATAAGCATTAAAGGACTAAAGCTTGCATTACGGTTCATTTTCCAGGACTGAAATTTCTTTTCATTTAAGTGTCCTTTCTGTATGGCGTCAGGGTGGGGATGGGGGAAGAATTACGTTATTGTATTAATGATGAATGTCTTGCCTTTGTAAATACATTTTGGAGAAACTACAACGGACCTTTGTGGTTTCCTTTCACAGCTGACGTTAAATTTTTACTATCTATGAACATAGAGGCTGGAGCATGAAGGCACTTTGCAATGAAAGCACTTACCGTTTGCTGGGCAGGGTGTGACGTTGCAGGAGCGGTAGATGGCCCTCTTGCCAGTGCAGTACCGGCCGTTGTTTCTAGGAGCTGGGTTATTGCAGTGACGATAAGCAAACTGAACTCCTCCACCACAGGTACGGGAGCACTGTCCCCAAGGTCCCCAGGACCCCCAGTTACCATGGCTTGAAGCCTGAAATACATGGAACAGTGGGAGGTAAGGACATCATCCAAGTGCGAATAAAGGTGCTACATCTCAAAGACACTGCTAATGTTTTCCTTCATCGAAGGTGATTCCTTGGTCATTTTAATCAGGGGTAACAGGTCATAGGAACCTTCCTTCTCCCAGCAGAGTTAATTTCTGTCTTTTATCTGCAAACTGATGACATCTCATTTGGCACTGTGTATGCAGAGGCAGTATCAGGCCTTGCTCTGCACAGCTGCCTTCAGCCTGTTTCATGGGGAGACACCCATGCACCAGAAATAGCACCCATAGTCTCATGTGCTGCTCTCTTATTTTTTGTTATTCCTATGAACACGGCTCCTTAAACTAGCTTCAAGGGATTCAGCTCCCAGAATATGTTCATAAGTCTAATCTATGATTAATTAAATGCAATTATTATGCTGTGTAGGTATGTGGCAAGAGATGGAGTTGTCAGATATAGTTTGCAACTCTGCTAAATTTGCTATCTAGAAAGAGTATGGCAACAGCATGTAGAAGTATATAATGGGTGTTACAAGGGCTGTAGCTTGATATGAATGACTCTCATAATTGGCAAGTATCTTCACAAAGCTCTGCAAGTCCATACCTCTTCTGTGGGTATAACAGAAGGGGCAGTGCTATTGTTTACCCAGTAAATTTAGAAGTATCTGAACTGTGAAGTTGACAGTTCTCATGAGCTTGGGGACTCTTCAGATGTATAAAACGACAGAGGGGACAGTGTCACTGGAGGTACAAACTTTTCTGCTCCACAAACTATATTCTGGATGAACTTCATCCACCTTTCTCTTCACCAGAGTTAGGGCCTTGGGGTCTTTCAGAAGAGGGCTGTAAATTGAATGTACAGATTTAATTTACCTCACAGTCCATTGCCAAGAAGTCAGAAAGCTAAGAATAGATCCTTGACAATCTTTCCATATGTCCTGAGACCTGACCTACGGAATGGGCAAATCCTCTGCTCTGAAGGGATGCTCCCCATTTTCCAGGAATGAAGGTTTTCATACTTCAAGAAGAAAACATGCTTCCTGAAACTCAGCAGAGTTTTTCCTATAGCCCTCACCAATAACACTCCAATTACATGCTAAAAAATAAGGCAGCTTTCAATCTGACTTCCATAAAGTCCCTTTCACTCCCACAAAAATCATCAACTTGGAGAATCATGCCTTCTAAAATTCCCTAGGGTCACAGCTGGTAACTTACTGAGTAGTATTTCTTCTTGGTTTTGTCAACACATTTTCCCTGGAGGCAGATCCTCCCTTTTCCACATGGTGTTCCCTCCACAGCAGGCAGCTTCTTAGTCAGACAAACCATCTGACCTTGGCGCACAACTGCACACCAGAGGCGAGAGCAAACATCCATACCGGGACACACTGTGTATTCCGGTCCAAAAGCCAGTTTGCACTGACGAATGGCATCATAGGTTTGTCCCGGAAGCTCCTCGGGGCCCAGGATCTGCTTTCTCGGTTGGTCCAGCAAACAGTTACCTAAAAGAGCAAACCAACCTGCTATTACTCATTTCCTAGTTTTCTCTGCAGTGCTGCAAATCTGTCATTCACGTTAGGCAGACCGATAATGACAGTGAACCCCATTCAAAGGATGCTGATGTGAACAGAAAGACTCTGAGGTGTCATCAGGTTTTGGACAAGGTCATACTATTGCAACTGTGTTCTCACCCAGCAGCGTACCAGGTGTCAAGCTGCCTGTTTCGAATGTGAGTGTGTAAATGAGTTTGACTTGGGTCCGCTTGCCCTTTCCTCCTGGTTTCCTTTATTTGAATTGACTCTGAACACATTCCACTCTATCAGCTTGTGATTTAAGGAATTATCAAGACTCACAGCAAAGTAAGCAAAGTTGTCATTTACAGCAAAGTAAGTAAAGTTGTCATTTGAATTTTGAGACAGAACATCATAAATGGTGATGCTTCTAAAGAAATGCCAGAAAAAACATAAAACCCAGACATGTAGCCAATGAGACACTTGAAATAAAAAGAAAAAAAAAAAAAAAAAGGAAAAATCCCAACAGACCAAAGGAAAAATACGAGCTGCACATCAAACCTCATGTTGGTGGTAAATCTAGGCTGGGCTTTCCTTGTAAGGAATGATACTCGGCTGGAATTAGTTTGAAGAGGGCTATCTGTTTTATACAAAAATACATAGATAACAGAAAGAAAAGAAAAAAGTAGCATAAACATAAAGAATTGTATATGTGTTTTGAGATACATTACAGAGGTCAAGACTTGTCTGGCACACTCTAAAAACAAATATTCACATTTAGGTTCTAGAGGATATACCGATATATTTTTTTTACTATCGAAAACCTCACTTGTTGACACGCAGAACTATTTATTCAGTGTAACCTCTTTTACACTTCATGAAAGGGATACGTCGTCTGGGCAAGCTTCACTTATCCTTGGCCAAAACAACTGACCACAATTTACCTCACTTTGGAACTTACACCACTATTCTTCAGTTGGATCACGGGCGAAAAAAGGTTATCTATAAAAACTTCACTATTTAGACAAAATGGAATAGAATTTCAAGCTATGGCAGTGAATTTAAACAAACCAAATACTCCATCTCTCAATGTCTTGGGTTTTCCCTCCCAAACACACACTTTACTGCAACTGATCTTTTTTTCCTCTAAAGACTAAGCCGAATCAGCCAAAAATTCTTTCTGCATCACCACTTTCTACCAAAAAACTCTCTGTCTTGTTAAACCTGATCCATTTTCCCTTTACTGACCCTGATTTACCCTAGCCTTATCTTTAATCTGGAATAGGCTGACTTTTTTAATGCAGACAAGGTGTGCCAATGCTAACTGATGAGCTGAGTGCCATGAGATAAAGTTAATTAAAAGCACCCTAGTGTTCAAAGCCTGTTGTAGTGTAAAATATTAGAGACATGGTGAGGAGTGAGGAAGCACAGATTTTTTTTCTGGAGTTTCTGAAAAGGACATAATTGGCAAAAATTGCTGTCGAAAATATACCTTATAAAGCAAATAACAGCTGAAGTCCTACTTCATATACCTTGTGATGAGGCAGTAAGCCACTACAGTGTTAGGGCAGTGGTGGGAAGGCACTAGCATGTCAACGTTCAGTAGTATACACTACTATGGTATATATACTGCAGTTTATTGAATTCCCAAGTGGAACTGTTATTCAGTATTTTAAAACATCATAATAACACTTAATTTCACCAGGACAAACACTGCTGCCCATTACGGAGATCTACCATGACTGACATGACTGCAAATAAAAATTTAGAGAAAAAAAGAAAAAAAAGTCACATCCCTGTATCTGTCAATCATTTTAGTTAACACCTATTTGAATACCTTTCACGTGTGAATAACAGGTTTCACAAACTTACATAGCAAATATAGCACTTTTTCCCCTCCAGAACACAGGGGTATGAGATCCAAACTCCTCCTTAACCAATACTGCTCTGAGAAAACACATATAATTTCTATAAAGTGAGGTATTCCAGCTGATCTAACATGATAAATTCAAAACTGAAGATAGCAAAGGCCCCTAAAGACTCCAGACAGGGGGAAAAAAAAGTCTTCACATTTATAGATAGTAGCAGTGTCCACGTTTAGACAGGTTGCAATGAAGTGCAGGTGTTTTTACCACCAGTTGGTCCAACCTCCTACTTGTAATGATCAGAGAAGACAGAGTTAAGAAGTTAGAGAATGGTTTGCCCTGGGACCTCTGGTTGAGAAGTCAGAGAGGGCTTCAATTCACTACATTACATTGCAACATACAGAGCATGTATATACCGCTACTCCTACTTTTTGTCCCGAGTACCAAAGAACATCTGCGTGCTCTGAAACAGAGCAACATTGTTGGCTGATGACAGTGTTAATTAAGCCATCTCATTATGTCTCCTCAATGTTATGTGTAATACATCTTGGAAAAAAAAGGCAGAATAAGATCTGTGCAGGAAGCAGATAACCAGGATATAAATTAATTAAAATAGAAATGGTCCTTGTTTCAGGTTGCACAGAGCACTGAGCACTCTGACTAAACACAATAAATCGCAAGCAATCATTCCGCAGCCTAGTGGCTGGCATGACAATAAAGGCAATTAGTATCTTAGGGGAGGGTTGGCTAAAACCAGATAGAAATAAATGTCCTTGTTTTCTGGACACTAACTGAGCCTTTTCTTCCTAAATGTCAAACTGCTGTCTGGGGTCATCTCATCTCATGAGTGTAAACCAAATGGTGGTATCACAACAATGATGTTTATAGTTCTCAGAGTGGGCCTCAGGAGACAGGGAATCAGCACCTTGATCCTCTCCAGACCACCTGGTTGACCTTGGACGAGACATTTATGTTGGGATTTATTTAGCTGACTTTAACTGTATGTAATGCTGGTGTCTGCAACTCAGTCAGCTGTCAGGTGTTTCACTACTCAGGCAAACGAGTTTGTGGTGTAATTCAGCACCACTAATGCAACCGATGAGATCAGTTAAACCACTGATGCCATTGATTAGACTCCTCTGCACTACGATGGGAACTTAAATACCCAGTTTAGGAGTAGTTACCTACATAGTAAATACCTACATTTTATAAGAGTCTGCTCCCCAACCTCACTTTCCAAATTTAGAAAAACAGGAACATCAGTACTTGACGAAGTGACGTTAAGGAATTAGAGTCAAGACTGATGTTTTCTGTTACAGCAGTAAGGGGTGAATATCTAAATCTATGTGGTAAACTTAAAAGCTTAGATAAGACATTGTTCTTTTGTAATAGAATACTGCTCACAGATTCAAACTTCTGGACTTCATTCACATTTCATAATGCTTACCCATAAGGAGAAGCAGATGAAGCACTTTATTTCCTCACACCAATGCTGCCACGCCCTTTGTCACAATGCATAAGCTCATGCCTATTCAGACCAAACGCCCAGTGCAAACTGCTTATGCTGCCTATCAGAGGATACAAAAGTCTTCTCTTGTTCAGTGTTTCCCACATAAGCTTCCTGTGACTGTACAAAATCCATCAAAAACAGCCTAAAAGAAAGCCTGGTATGTGAATATCTGTATTCTTTTGCTGCAACTGCTACTCTGTGCCTTCCTTATCTACATTATGCCTTCAGCACTGCTCAAAATTACACCTGAATGGTTAAGGGTTTTTTTCCTCTGCCCAGCAGCACGTGAGAGAGAGGATTGTCTTCTTTCTATGGGAAGATTGCAGGGGAGCTCCTTCTTGAAAACAAAAAGGGAGGGAAAACATTGCAACTATATGGCAGTACATCTGCCTCAGCTAAGGGGAAAAAAAAAAAAACACAACCAGAAAAGCAGACACATATTCTACGAGGACTCTGTGGCTTCTGGTATACTCAGCATACATTACAAATGGGAATTATGGAGCTATGGATTCATTCACTGGCTGGAAGAAGAAAATAAAACCAGAAGTTCCCTTCCTAAAATAATGCATGCCCTTTCAGCACAATAATATGAAGAAACTGCAATTTAAATAATTGACTTCCATTTTTACTTCATAGATAGTGTTTGTGTTCTGTTAAGACAAATCTTTGATTTAAAATAAATAACTGAAAAATTACAAACTTCAACAGAAAAAGTCTCTGAAGGCCTGATCACCAAGAAAAGAGATACCCTAAACATTCTATATTTGAGATCACATCAACAGCATCAGTAATAAAATTAACTCCCAGAGGACTATGGACCTCTATGATGAGAGGTTCAAATTTTCTATTAATTATTTCACAATACTGATAACTCTTTGAGACTACATGCCTGATTGATAACCACTCATCAGTATTAGAAAGGGCAACGTATCCCAACCCACCCATTAACAGACTGACAGATCCTAAGTCCTTTACATGCAGCAAAGAATACATGACTTTGTGAAAACTGTCAACAGTTGAGGACTGCCAAACTTCTTGTACAGAAAGTCAGCACTCATGAAGAACAAGGAGACCATAATGCAGCTCTGAAGGGTGTAAAGCTCCCACCTACTTTTACTGAAAAAAAACCCTGGCAGAGTTATATTCTTAGGCCTGTAGGACTCACTGTTACAGCCCCCCTTAACTTCCACATTGAAACTGTGTCCAGCTCATGAATAAAGGTCCAAATTTCAAGCATCCCTCCAGCTGCAAATAAGCCAACGGTGAGGTGCGTGGGATAAATGCTCTCTTTGTTTTCTTTACTGTTGCAGAAAGTAGATAGCTGGATGCATAGTAATGAGAAGAAGTCAGGTCACGAAAAAAGGGAAAAAATGAGAACAACCTTTCTACTCGCCTGCAGCAGGAGAGGAAATAGAAAATGCAACATAGTTCAGAGTGCCTTGTGCTCCCTAAGAGGTCATTCACAGATGGCAAGAGAGGTCCCTTTTGTTCACCCCAGTGAACTGCACTGTACCTCAGTAACTAAACTCAAAGAGGAAAGTTCTCTTCACATGTGGAAATTAACTTGGTAATATTAAGTCAATGCCAGAGCAATATGGACCATAAACCAGGACAGTACAGATTAATGGATTTAATAAAATTGAGAGAAAAAATGAAGTCATTCTCTAATAGAGGAAATCAGGAGAAAATATTTCAGAGCACATCAAAATTAGCCAACAAAATATTTAAAAGCAAAAAACCCTTTACATTCAGCAGGCATACCATACTTTTTATCCATAAGTATTTCAGTTACCATAACAACTTGATCCATTCACTCAATTATGTCATTTTTATCTCAACATTTTGGAATTTGAATGGTTTGTTTAAGAACTGCAGTTGCTTTGGGAGCACAATGAAGACTTTAAAATTCATTAAAGACTAAAGACTATGCTTTTTTATTACTACTTTTGGAAAATGAAAGTTTTGCAGTTATTCTCCAAAGGCTAAATGACATATTTAACAAATATTAATTACATGATTTGGAAGGTAAGCTCCTGGGGCAGAAATAATATTTTATCGTATACAGAACAGAGGAGTCTTAATTCTTGCTTACAGACCCTCTACATAAACATAATAAATACAATGACATTACAAACTCAATAAATATAATGGCATTATAAACATAATAAATGCAATTAATGGTAACAGGAACGCATACATTCTGCTCACATCTGTAGTCTAACACTAAGTAGGCTATATCACCCATTTTAATTTCTGTGAGAAAAAAGCCATTTTGTTGTGTCCTCTGTTTAAAGTACTCTCTGAGCTTGTATCAGTGGCATTAGGGAAGACAAGACTAATTTCATGCTTTTAAAAAAAAACCTCTCCACATTTCAAAGCAAATTATTGCCAACACACGCTCCATCAACTTTTTCTTTTCTCTTGCAGTTGAACCATGCAAAAGGAGGCTAAGACTCTGCCAGCCTTTTAGACCTTTGCCTTGTTTTGCAAGCACTTCCAAGATAGTCCTGAAGATGAGCACGGAACGAACAAGCTGGTATAAAATGTTCTTATTTAAAAACCAGATCATAGTAAAAACTAACAAGTAGCTGACACAAGGTGTGATAACACATACCATGACCATCATCGAAAAATTCCGTTATAGTTGCTGATGTGCATTTGGACCAGGGTTTTGAAGCATCAATGCTAGTCAGAATGGAGGACATCAGGCGCTTATCTTCCATGGAACCAAAGTTCTCCTCACAAAATTTAGAGTCATCATGGGAAAGCCCAAGCAAGTGCCCTATAGAAATGAAACAAATAAATAAAATTATATGACTATCTGCAACAGAATTTACCAGCTAGAGCTCACAGTCAAGGGTAAAATGGATAGTATAATTCATTCTCAAATTTTAAACAGCAGCCCAAAGCAGGCCACTTGAAATGTGGATCTCTTCTTGAACACAAAAAAGCTGTGACAGTTTACACCATTACATATAGCAAGGAAGTAATGCCATCAGCTGACCTGTCATCGAACTGTGTTAACTGAAACCTGATGAAGACTAAAGTGTACTGTACCCATCTATATTAGTCAACAATTTAGCTCTCACTGTTTTTCAAATCATCTTCCGCAAGAAAGACTAATACTTTACTCTGTAAAGATGTTCTGCAACAGTCTAGAAAGGTGCTACAATATCACAGAATCACAGGATGGTAGGGGTTGGAAGGGACCTCTGGAGATCATCTCATCCAACCCCCCTGCTAAAGCAGGTTCACCTACAGCAGGTTGCACAGGACTGCATCCAGGCGAGTTTTGAGTATCTCCAGGGAAGGAGACTCCACAGCCTCCCTGGGCAGCCTGTCCCAGTGCTCTGTCACCCTCAGAGTAAAGAAGTTTTTCCTCATGTTCAGGTGGAACTTCCTGTGCTCCAGTTTGTGCCCGTTGCCTCTTGTCCTATCACTGAAAAGAGCCTGGCCCCATCCTTTTGACACCTGCCCTTTAAGACATTTATAAGCATTGATAAGGTCCCCTCTCAGCCTACTCTTCTCTAGGCGAAACAGCCCCAGGTCTCTCAGCCTTCCCTCACAGGACAGTTGCTCTGGTCCCCTAATCATGTTCATAGCCCTCCACAGGACTCTCTCCAGTAGCTCCTTGTCTCTCTTGAACTGAGGGGCCCAGAACTCGACACAGAACTCCAGATGTGGCCTCACCAAGGCAGAGTAGAGGAGGAGGAGAACCTCCCTCGACCTGCTGGCCACACTCTTCTTCATGCATCCCAGGACACCATTGGCCTTCTTGGCCACAAGGGCACATTGTTGGCTCATGGTTAACTTCTTGTCCACTACAACTCCCAGGTCCTTCTATGCTCCAGCAGGTCAGCCCCTAATCTGTATGGGTGGTGCATGGGGTTATTCCCTGCTAGGTACAGGACCCTACAGTTGCCCTTGTTGAACCTCATTAGGTTCCTCTCTGCCCAGCTCTCCAGCCTGTCCAGGTCTCTCTGAACAGCAGCACAGTCTTCTGGTGTGTCAGCCACTCCTCCTAGTTTTATGTCATCAGGAAGTGAGGGTGCACTCTGTCCTCCAAACACAAAACAATGTGCACGCAAAGCAGCACATGACAGAACTTGCAAAAATCCTTAATGTCCAGGGGAGTTCAGCCCAGTGCTAGATGAGCTCTTGTAAGTGCAATAGCAACCCTTTCTGTAGACCACTGATCCCCATTATCTCTAGTCTCTGGGCAACAATAATAGATTGCAGGCAACACACTTTGTTCCCTCTGTAAACATCAGGTCTGACTTTAATTTACATGCCCACACTGGATGATTTCACAGCCAACTTACTATCCGAGAAGTAGAAGACTGAATGGGAAGCAAAGTTGCAGGGAGCTCAAGCCTGAACCCTCACAGTCTTCAACCTAGGCCAGTAGATGATTAATCAGACATCCAGGGCTCCACCAAGAGTGCTTTAATGATAAGGACAAAGACCACCCAACAAAGCCACTGCAGAGAAATAAACCTGATGTCTCAAATAGCAGCTGAAGAGACACACTGTATTATTCTGCAATAACTAAAAGCCGCCTATGTATCATCAGCTTCATGTTTTGCTATAACTGCTGCAGAGTAGCTGCAAGGTGACACAAGTAGGGACACTGATGGCAGGATATCGTAGTCTGATATCCAGAAGACAGTAATGGGCATGACAATAGTAGTATCAATAATCATACCTGCAGTACAGGCTGGAAAAGAAGAAAATCATCGAATTTTATCTATTCGCCTTATATAAACTTGCTGTTACATTGTTTTCATCTGCTTTGGAGGAGAAGCCAAGAGGAAAGAGGAGGCAGCACTCACTGCTGAGCTGTATCTGAGATAAGGAAAGTAGCTATCTGACCAGAAGTCTGTTAAGGCTGCAGGAGATCAGAAATCAGGGTTTCTGTCCTGTGAAAGAAGCAAAGGTATCATCTGGCAGCCTTACCCACATGCTGACCTAAGGATGGAGCTACAGGAAAAGTGACAAGAGGACCTTGATCTATCACTTCTAGTTGTACCAGTGATGACTGAGAACAGCCAGTCTGTCTCCTGCAGCTACTGAATCCCCACTGGAGTGGAGGTGGGAAGGAGAATGAAGAGGGCATTTCTCTTTTTTTCTCTTTTCCCCTGATGTGCACACATTTATCAACTTCATTCAAATTCAGCTACTATTTGAATAAAAGTCCCTGTAGTATTATAAATGCTGGTAGGAATTTATTCAAGGAACCTAGGTTAACACTGATGAGAGTTAATACTCCTTTCCCTGTTATTTCTGTTGCTAATTGCTATTCCAATGCTGTATCACAAGCACATCGCTGCAAAAACATAATGAATCAAACTTTCATACTGAAGGCATGTCCAATTACTGGGGCATTTTATATGCAAGATTTGGGCTCGGGTTTTTCTGATAGGTAAAACCACTTTCCTTTGGCAATACTTACTATATATGGGCCAGATAATTCTATTTGTATTCTGCACTGAGACATGGCTTAGTATCAGTAGGTAGATGTCAAGTTTCAACCTGATATAGCACTATATAAATACTTGCTCTGAAGAGATGACAGCATCTTTGTTCTATTTAAGCCAAATGCTGGTGTTGAGCAAAATAATTCACTAGTAAAATTATTATTTCAAACAGGCTTATTTCTCTGACAGAGTAACCAAATAATCAGTGCATCACTTCTAACCTATAGAGCAAATTCTGTGGAAGCGTCACAGGCTAAGCGTTTAGTGAGTCAGCAGCTACTGTGCCAACGAGGACTATCTCTGACTTTGCCAAAGTCTTAGACGCCAACAACGAGTGTCTTCAGGAAACGCAAAGATGATGTTATTTTTGGCTGCCATTCTATACAGTGCTATCGCTAAGCTTGTATTCATGTTAACGCACTGAATGGCACCAGGTCACACCTCGTGTCTGAGAACTATGAGCAGAGTTGACAGGTTAATGAGCCTCAATACATGCCTAGTAGTAATATAACTAGAACCATTTTCTGCTGACATTAAGTAACGCCTTGTAGCATATTTCACCAGTGTTCTGCTACCTTAAGCAAACATTTACCAGAGAGGGCTTTAGGCCTATCCTCTGTCTTTCATTGACAGACCCCTCAATATGTGGTGCACCTTCCCACTTAAATCAGGACTGTACACACTCTGCTTTGCAGAGCTGCTCCGGAGTTTCAGCCAGTTTCTTATATCTTACTTGAATCATAGAATCACAGAATTGTAAGGTTGGAAGAGACCTCTAAGATCATCAAGTCCAACCGTCTACCCAACACCACCATGCCCACTAAACCATGTCCTGAAATCTGTGCACTTGAATATGCATCTACTACCAATCAATTGAACAGAAATATTTGCAAAAAATTAGCCCAGCAAGCAAGAAAACACCATGCTGGTTAGACCTAAGCCTCACCATAGCAATCTCCTCTGAGACAACTTGTATGCTTAAAGGTTGCAGAAAGAACGCTTTTATATTTAATATCCCAAGACTGCTCATAGTTGTAACACTGCAAGAAATTAGTTCGCTGCAGCATGCTTGTGAAGTAAGATAATGAGGTTCTGCCAATGGAAAACGAGGTTTCATTTCTAAATCATTGGACTTGGTACTACGCTGCTCTTGGTGAATAAAAAAAGCTGGAGAATGGTTCTAAAAATTTTGTCTGAATAACCTCAAACGGCACACAACTCATCTTCAGTGTAGGATACGAGTAACAGTTGGGTGCAAACCAGCAATTTGAGAACTTAATTTTCCAGTGCTCAACATTTTATAGCACCATTCAGAACTACCCAAAACTCTGTGATATGAAGGATTCAGTCTTGTAGGGCAGAATTCAAGTTTCTTAACCTTAACACCCTCTGATACTGCTCTGCAATACTCCACCCATGTAAGATACAACTTAGCTCTCTATACGAATCCTTTTCTCGCATAACTGTATGTCACCTTTCAAAACTTTGTTCATCCTATGTGACAGACATCCCACATGAGCACATAATAAAAGACTTAATACAGTGCAGATATGCACAAGCCGCATTAAGGCTGATGCTTCTGAATGTGCAACTTGGACACCTCTGAGTTTCTCTGCTACCTATGACATTCTTTTAACACAGTTTTTGTGTGTGTATGTTCCTCCTTGCACCAACTTCATCAGCCCTGGCTTTGGAAAGACCTCTTTGTCTTCACCACGTGCATTTTTCATCCCCGGCTACTCCTGTAGTGCAATTTCTAAGCAACTTCATCTTAGACTACCTACAGAACATTTCATGCCAAAATCCTTTGGCAAAAGCACAGGAAACTGAAACAGGGTCATCTTCTGGAAACTGTCAAGCTACTGGCTACACTTTTAATTAGAGTGCACCATAACTTCTATACTTTCCAGTGACAAATGGGGTGAAATGAGGACATACCTCATTAACAGTGTCTACTTTGTCATATTAAATCAGGCCATTGTTCTAAAGCATGATGAGAACGAAGTCACTTACTTGGCAGACTTCAGCTTTTTGAGGAGAAGCTTCCCAAAGTATTTGTGAATCTCTCTTGTTATTTTTAATTTTTTCAAAAATAATTTTAAAAGAATCATGACAAGGAAAGAAGTAGTAAGTAGTGAATAATTTCCAAAATGTATAATTCTGATTGTCAGTATTTGAGCTTCTAAATTAGCCACCAGTGATGCTAGTGAGGATAATAGCTGTTTATAGCACTAAGTATAGGGACTCTAGCTCTCCACACTGATTTGCCAGTTATACCAATTTGCCAGTTTGTATGCATGCTTGC